CACATCTCCCTTTACCTACCATGGCCACGCTGGCTTATTCTGAGGACTAGGTTCTATGATGTTTTATGATGTTTGTCTGAATCAAGTCCCAATTTCCTATCCCCTGGAGAAGGCTTTGGGGTATTTGATCAGCTCCACTGGGGGCCACCAATGAGAACAACTGCACTTTCTGAAATCCCAGTTAGTTTCTCTGGTTTTCTCTTCTCGCTCCCACCTTGTCCCCCACCTACACTGCTCCCCACCCCATGATTGTCCAGCTGAGGTTAAGGAAGCTTCAGGGCTGGACCTCATGGGTCATAATGGTCCCATAACATGAGGTCTGGTCACAGCTGCTACTTACAAAGTCTCTGCAGGCCTCGTTGTATCGGGCTAAGTCATCCAATATGCTTTTATTCAGCATGAGGGTGCTGACGAGATTTTCCACACCAGGAACATCAGAGATAGTGGCTAATCTTATGTTAATGGACCTGGGTAGAAAGAGAAACACGATTTTTTTAGGTTAAAGAACTAAAATAGGTATTCTACTCCAATATGGAGTCAGAAGTGTAATCTATCACATTTATATAAAATAAGCTCTGGTAAAATGCATTTATATGACACAGGGGCTTGATTCATCACAAAAGTAACACATTTCATTCTAGCAAACCTGGAAAACACACACACACACACACAAATGCAAAGAATAAGGTCAAAATCATTGATAATGCCCTTCACCAAAGACAACACAAAGTGATACTTCAGATACATTTAACTCAAAACAGTCATGTTTTATTTCATATTTATTCCATGTAAAGAGCCAAAGTCTTTCCCAAATTTGTCAAGTAGTCAAGTTAAGGAATTACATCATGTTGGACCTGGCTTAATTAGCATGTGATCCGTGGTCCAGCACAGGGCTGCATGCTCTGAAGGGTCTCCCATTTGGAATTTAATGCTCTAAGGTCAACCATCTTCAAATTCTGAATAACTTCATCTTTGATGTTGTGTTTTTAAGTGAAGACAAGGGAGACAATGGAGCATGTCTGGGACTTGGAGCCTTGGCTCATGCATGGTTACTGCCTCTTGCCCTCTCTCCGTGGGTTCCCTGCCACCTGTTTGCTGTGCTCTATAAGTCCTCTCCACCCCTGCCTCCTTCTGCCAGGGGTGACAACTGGGCTGCATTGGTTGAGGAGGCTCTCGTTCAACTATCACTCTCGGCCCCCAGTGGTGTCCTGGAGATGACATGGAGAGAGTTGGGGGTCAGAACTGTGGAGTCTCTGGACAGGGCAGAGTTGACTGTCCACACCCTGGGCAGGCAGGGCCATGATGTGTACAGCTCAGGATGGCCCTCTTGCCCACCCCCCCAACCACGTGTTCAGTGCATTTGGGGGCAGAGGTTGCCCCTGGGGGATGCTTGATAGCAATGGGTTGGAGCACTGGGTTCGTGGAAGGGGAGAAAGGAAGACTGACTTTGCCACCCCAGGCAGAGGTCCCACATTTTCATTTGGTAATGGTTCTGACGTACTGTACTGTACGTAGTGAGCTTTGTATTGAATTCTCTCCAGTCATCAGGAAATGACTAGTAAATAGGGTAATATGATACTTGCTAATGTTAATAAAGTAAAATACTTTAACCTATTTAACTTTTGACTGTAGGGAATATCTGTGCTCCAATTTTCATGCCTTTTTCCATATAAAGGACAGAGTGGTATATTTGCAAAGAATTATCTATATTTATTGGGTTGTCAGAAAAGTCATGACGTTACTTTCTATGCAAAAATGTGTGATGGCTCCCAACAACCCAATATAATGAGTTGATCAAAGACAATCATTCTGGGCCAGCCTGTGACACAGTGGTTAAAGCAGCTGGATCCTACATGACTGACAACATCGTTGGCGTCCTGGACCAGTGGCTTGAGAAACATGCCAGCCACATGTGCGTGTGTGCCCCAACTCCTAGAAGGATGAAGAAATGGAGGTGAAGGGATGGCAGCATGGGCCATGCCCCATGGAGGGTCCTTGCTTTCTCCTCTTTGTTTCTCTCATTGTCTCTGTCTCTCTCTGGTGAGTGTATGTACCTTTTTGCAATTTTTTTTTTTTGGAGAGGTTTTTGCTATAGGGCGTGTGCGTTTGCCAGAAAGACAGAGAGAGACAGAAAGTGAGAAATCACCTCCCAGGAGGGCTGGCCATGCCACAATCTCTTCTCCTCCGTTCTCCTCTCAGGATCTTGGGCACACATGCAAGAGAGCCCAGCGTGAGTTTAAGCTACTAGGTCCAAGACTCGAACCGCGGTTGACTATATGGGAGTCCAGCGACAAAGTCATTACACTAACTGCTGATCCCTTAGCAAATATTTTTATAAAAGATAATATAACCTTAATAGGTTTATGAGCAATTTTTAAGTGAAAGATAAATATGGCCCCCTTCTACCAAAATTTATTTTAGATAGGTTAATGATGTAAATGTAAAAAACAAGACCACACAGGTAATAGGAAAATACTGAAGGGAAGTAAAAATGTATCCACAAAAAAAGAAAAAACATGGGGACCAGCAGTTTGCATAATGGCTATGTTGCTGGACTCCCATGTAGTCAACCACTGTTCGAGTCTTGGACCTGGTGGCTTAAACTCATGCTGGGTGCATGTACGTGCGTGCCCAAGATCCCGAGAGGAGAATGGAGGAGAAGGGATTGTGGCGTGACCATCCCCTCGGGGGGTGATTTCTCACTTTCTGTCTTTTTGTCTCTCTCTGTCTTTCTGGTTAACACACGCACCCCATAGCAAAAACCTCTCAAAAAAAAAAAAAAAAAAAAAAAAAAAAAGGGGAAAGAAAAAACATGTACATGAAATTCATAGCATCATTACTTATAAAGCCCAAAAAGTGATGGAAATAAATGAAACATGCAAAAACAGTGGATATTACTCAGTCATAAAAGGGAATATACATGCTCTAACATGTATGAATATGTAAAACATCATGCAAAATGAAAGAAGCCATGTACAAGAGAGACACATTGTATACTTACAGGAAATGTCCGGAATAGGACAGCTTAGAGAAAACGTACCATCTACAGGAAGTAGACTGGCAGTTGGCAGGGGCAGGGGCAGAGAGGTTTGGAAGTGACTGGTCAGTGGGTACAGGGTTTCCTTAGGGATGCTGAAATGAGGTGGAACCAGGTACAAGTGACAGCTGTATGACATTATAAATGTACTAAATTCCTTAAGTGGGTGAATTATATGGTATGTGAGTTACATGTCAATAAAGTTGTTTCAAAAGATACATAAAACACCTAAGAAAGTTGAGAGGAAAAGGAAAGGGGAGTGGCACGTGATAGTCAAAAAATAAGCCGCTGTGGCTCTATAAACATCAGATAAACTAGACTGAAAGGCAAAAGTCATTACGAGAAAAAAGATCTTACTTAATAATAAAAGTAAACATTCACTAGGAAGATACAACAATATCAAATTTGTAAGGGTCTAACAATGTACCTTCAAGATATTGAAGTAAAAATTGACAGTGTTATGAGAATACGACAATCTACCTCATAGTGATAGCTTAATACACTTCTCTCAGAAACTGCTATCAGACAAAAGACTTAAAATGCTGTAGAAAATGTGGATAATGGACCAGCCAGTGGTGTGATAGTTATTGAGTGGCTGGATCCCACAAGGCCCACCCTACAGTCTGAGTCCCAGACCCTGTGGCATGAGAAAAATGCCAGGCGCATGTGTGTGCATGTCCCACATCCTGAGAATTGGGCAGACAGGATCGTGGCAAACCATCCCTGTTAGGAGGTGATTTCTCACTTCCTCTCTCTTTCTCTATGGCATGTCTATGTGCCCTATGGTAAAACTAAAAAGAGAGAGAGACATTTGGGTAAGCTTAACGTAGAGGAAACAAAGCAAACTAGGCTATCAGTATCATCTCAATGCTATCATTCCGAAGCCCTCTGTGAAGCTGTCTTTTTCATCTTAGTTAATGGTAACTCTATCCTTCTTGTGGTTTGGGCTCAACCTGTTGGCTTCATCTTGGCTTCTTACGTGCCTATATTTCAACCCAGCCTCTCCTTTCAAAATGTCTCTGAGAATCCAACCACTTCTCATAACTTCCGATGCCACCCTGGCCATGGCCACCTCTCTCCTAGGTTGTCACAGCAGTATGATCCATTCTCGTTTCCACCTTTGCCTCAGACAATCCGACCTCCCCCCCAGGTGGAATGGAGGTATGGTTTTAGACACCTGTAAGTTTAAGTGTGTCTACAGACACTCAACCTTGCAGAACACAGAGCAATTTTTCGATGCCAGTAAATGAAAACAAAATGATGAAAGGAAGAAAAAGTGATCTGAGTCATTCCGAATTCCAAAGGAGTGATCTATGTAGTATAATCATAAAATAATTTGACAGTCATTGCTATTTCAGTTTACACCAAAACCAAAACTAAAAACAAACAATAACTACAAAATCTAAAAATGAGCTTCTATTGGGCTTTATTCAAAAGGTTGATTGAAAGTAGAAGAGGGACTGAACTCCCACATGGCCGTTTAGGACAGCAACCTAAGGGCAGTTTTACTTATTGAGCAAAGTGGACAATGGGCTGGATGACCTAACATAGCAGTAATTATTTACTTATAGAAAGTAATTTCTGGGACCAGAAGAGGGTGGAATGGTTACATCGCTGGACTCCCACATAGTCGCTGTGGTTAGAATCTCAGACTCAGAGGGTTGGAGTTCATGCTGACTGAATGTGCATGTGTGCCCAAAATCCCAAGAGGAGAAGGGATTACGGTGTGGCCATCCCACCTAGGGGGTGATGTCTTGATTTCTGTCTCTCTGGCAAGTACATGCTCTCTATAGCAAAAATCTCTGTTAAAAAGAAAGAAAGAAAGAAAGAAAGAAAGAAAGAAAGAAAGAAAGAAAGAAAGAAAGAAAGAAAGAAAAGAATTTCTACATGCTAGCAGGTGGCATGGTACTTACGGCACTGAACTCCCACATGGCTGACCACAGTTCAAGTACCGGACTTGGAAGCTTGCTTTCTTGTTTTCCTTCTCTCTCTGGTCAAATTTTTTAAAAATAATAATAAATAAAATTAAATAAATAATTCTTTTCTAAAAAGAAAATCATTTCTAGTACAATAAATATTAGTTGGACGAATATGTCTGAAATATTTTCCCCTAACTTGGATGTCAAATTTCAGAGAAACCGAGTTTGGAATGACGGCAAGACAAAGTGAGAGGTCAGGTCACCTGGATGTGTCCTCCACTAATGAATAAACAAGAGGGAAGAAAAGCCATGGGAAGATTAAGAAGAAGCAAGCAGGGAAAATGGAAAAAGAATCTTGTATACTACGGGCCAATCCCACAGTAAATTGGGAGATAACCTAGAAATTGCTATGTGAAGTAAAAGTGGTAGAAAGCATGTGATTTACCAGCACATAAAGTGAACGTTAACATAAATATTAGAAGATGTATTCATCTCAAAGCCCAGCAGTCAC